GAGGGAGGGAGGGAGCAGGACCCAAGCACACAACACACAGAGCCACCACGGAAGTCCAGTGGTGTCAACCTTCACACTTTCACAAGCACTGGCCTTCTTTGCAAACTACTTCAACCTGACATATTATGCTCAGTCTTTGTGAACCTATACAGTGTACTTGGGATTTAACTCTACTACATAAATTTAAACATAAAAATTGAATTTAAACAATCCAATAGTGGTATGCCCATATTTAGAACCAAGTTATTGCTGAGAAGCCTAGGAATGGTTTGATAAATGTACTTACCATTTTCATCGTGGTCTCTTGCTATAAAATAAAATTTAAAAAACATTTCCTGATAGACAAAAGGAAAAATTACCTGTAGCATTAATACTACTGTTTTCACCACATTCCACTGTGATTTTCTGCCATCCACAATCACAGTAAATCCTCTGGCCTTACATTTCTCACTGAAACAAAACAGAATTACCCCCCATTAATACCAGCTCCAGACTTAACTTCTCATAACCTTGAATGAAGAAGATAAAAAGCTTTAATAATATAGAATACAATTCATCTCGCTTGTCTGATCTACATTATGAACCAATAAAATTCTTCAGAGTAGGGGCTGGAGATATGGCTCACCAGTTCAGAGCACTGGCTGCTCTTTTAGAGGACCATGTTCAGGTCCCAGCACCCATATCTAACAACTATATGTAATTCTAGTTCCAGGGGACCCATTGCCCTCTTTGGTCTCTATAGGCATTGTATTACATGGGTATACTTACATACATGAAGTAAAATACCCATATACATACAATTCAGTTACATTAAAAAAATTTAAATCTCTTTAGAAGATTTTTTCCATTTTCTCATTTCAGGAAATGTTAATTCACAAGCTAATTTGGAAGAAAAGCCCTCTAGAAGCATGGGAAGGAAAGGTCTTAAATGGTGATGAAATCCAAGTACCATTCAAGCATACCAATAGCCTCTCAATTTCTCCATCTGTTAAACTGGATCAAAGAGAGCCACCAACAAGACATTTAGGAAGGTCAGTATGTGTTAGAGGGGACACAAGGCCAGAAAGGCCAGCCAAGGCAGGGACACTGACTGCTGAGTGGACTCTGGAGAAAGGCAGGAACTTAGGGTCTCTCCTAAAGCCTGGTAAGTTTACAAGAAGTGAAGCCAAGGCAGAGTTGTACAGCGAGGGCTTGCCACCCAAAGAGGCATGCCAGCTCCATCTCTGCTACTGTCTTGTCATCGGCAGTTACATCTGAGGCACAGGATATGCAATCATTTTGTTAAATAAGTTTTAAAAATAAAACACATTTATATTTCAGTTCATATAAATTTCTCTGCACATTAATAGCAAGAAAGTAATGAAGCTTGCAAATGCCATCTATAGTGATCTTAAAAAATAAAGCACTAAATCTTGTAGAATACTTAAGACCCTTAATCATAATTTTCTTACACTTTTACTAAGATAAAGAATGAAAATATACAAAGATACTATTTCAAAATCTCCAGACTAAGTGATATTTCAAATGCTTTACAAAGGGCATGTTCAAGGACCTAGAGTGCTATTAATAAATTCCCACACTACTGCTAGTATTTTAGAACTGTATTTTTAGAGCAGTAAAGAAAAAAAAAAAACATGTAAGACCCTCGCTCCTTAGAATCTTCAAAGAGGAACAGGCCAACTGAGTTAAAACAGCTCTGTAATAGAAATGATGGAACTAAAAACACCCCAACTTCTGAACATGGAAGAACTGTTTAGGAATTTCTAGGGTCAATACCCTGCACTCATTTCTTGGGTACAACTAAGGATTCTTTTTCTTCTGCTCAGAGTTCTGTTGATACTTACATGGCAGCACTAACCTTATTATACTTTTATTATAATATCCTGCCTGTAACTGTCTTCATCAGGTAACATACTTCCAGAAAATAAGAATGTCAACCTATTAATATTGCCAGCTCAGTTCTTTGAAATTAGAGGGTCTTTAAATATGTGATATGGGCTGGGCCTGGTGATACATGCCTTTAATCTCAGCCCTCGGGAGGCAGAGGCAGGTGGATCTCTATGAAATCAAGGCCAGTCTGGTCTACACAGCAAATTCCAGGCCAGTTGAGGCTATATGGTAACCCCTATTTCAAAAAAAATTGTGAGATGGCATGTCTCATCACATCCAAGCCAGAACATAATGGTTTTCCACTCATCTGGAGATGAAGCCCTGATCAGGGCCCCTATGGTCCCTGACTGACCTCAGCCTCTTTACTGACCAGCCTCCCAACACTGTTCCTCTCACTGTACCAGATATACTTGCCTGGTTGGTGAACCCACAACATGCTTCACCCACTCCTGCCTCAGGGCCCTGAATGTTCTTTCATAAGAGGTCTCAGGGCCACTGCTTGCTTCAGTCATCTGTGATTAAATGTTACCTTACAATTTTGTAAACTACCACCCTGTCCCACTCAGACTCCCCTGCTCTTCATGCTTTGCTTTCACAGTGCTCAGGAATGCCTGACATCCTCAGTATGTGTTTGTGGTATTTGTGTGACTGGTCATTAGGGGGGGCTGACTACTAGTTGGCTTTGCTCCCCATCATTCAGCACTAGAGGAGCTCCTGAAGGCTCTCACCTGCTCCCCCTCTTCAAGACTTCGGCCTTGATGTCTATGTGACTTGAAGCAATTTCTTCCCTCTAAAGCTTCTTCTATAACGTAAACAAGTGTTTCCACAATTAGGAAAAACTGATTTAAATATAAAAACTGATTTTTTAAAACTATCAAAACTTAAGGAAAGTGGAAAGTTAGCTTAATAGATGTTGGATTTCTATCAAGAATAATGTGAGTCAGTTTTGGGGGGTGGGGGTGTCATTCTATAAAGAGGACTTAAGTGGTGAGACCAGAGGATGGCTTCATTGCTTTCCAACCTTGATACCCTCCACTGCACAATTAGTAAGTTCTCTTTGAGCTAGAGAATAGTATGAGTTTAAATGTTGCTGAATAAACTACCGAAAGAAAATGCTAAAACAATTTTTAAGACATTCAGGATTTCTTTTAGACTGTAACAGTCACTTACTTTGGGGTCAATGATCAGTTGTGACAGATCCAGTTCTTATGTTTACTAAGTATTTTGGACTGATAGAGTTGACTATCACAGTGAGGAAAGACATAGCAGTTACCAAGATGCAGTACTGGATTTAGCCCTCTGAGTTCTGACTCCAGATCTGGTTTGCCACAGGTTCCTTTGCTCACCCTTTCTATGTCCCAATTCCGTAGTCATAAGATGAGGATGACTGTGCTCCTCTCTGAGTGGTAGGAGAATTAAATGGCTAATTCTCACCTATGATTTCCTTATCTGTAGAGTATTCTTTCCCTAGCTACCTCTAATTATCATCTAGACTTCTGGGGCCAACTGTGATTAAAGTTCTAAAATACAGTTTAGGCTAACCCAGACAAGCTTACTCACCAAACAACTTCTACTGAGTTCACAACCTTCACATGATTTGGTTTTGCAACAAATGTGAAATGCCCTGAGAATGGTTAGTTAGCAGGTCTAATAAGCCCATACATGTGTATGCAGAACTGGGAAGAAAACGAAGTGGTCAAGTGAGATAAAGGCATATCATGCTGATTGTTGACTAAGGATAAGGTACTGTGCTGCAAGGAGCTCTAAAAACGCAAAGTATAAGACACAGTTTCCCGGGGCTGGAGAGATGGCTTAGTGGTTATGAACACTGGTTGTTCTCACAGAAGACCTGGGTTCAAATCCCAGCACCCACATGGCAACTAACAACTGTCCATAATGCCATTCCCTGGTGATCCGACAGCCTCTTCTGATCTCTGCGGGCATTGCCCAACATGGGTGCACCCACCTGCATGCAGGCAATACACCCATACACATAAAATAAAAATAATAAATAAAATTTTTTTAAAAAGTTTCCCTTCCATGAACTTGAGATCTTCTTAGAAAGTGGAAAAGTGAGGACAAAGGTACTTTAATTAGTGTCTACTTTATATTCATATTCACATATACTATATTATTGAATATTCATGAAACCACATAAATCTTTGGAATCTGAAAAAAAGAAGTAAGCAATACATGTAAAAGTTCAAGAATTATCATTTACTGTATCACTAAATTCCTAATGTATGCATGTATATGTAAAAGATATGAGAAGAGGGAGGGAGGGAGGAAAGGGAGGAAGCATATTAAAAAACAGGCTATTTTGCCTTCCATCTCGCTTCCTGCTTGCACACTCTGGAGTGAACAAATGTGAGGAGACAAAGTGGATGTGCAGGCCACTCCCTCTGCCTCAGCTACCCAATGCTTCCTGCAGGGTGTGCCTCGCTCCCATTGGGCTGAGTGTGATTCTAGAAGATACTAGTCTGTGGTTTTTCATAATCATAGGCTGGATGTATCCTCTGGAAGTAAGCCTCAATATGTTCCAGAGCTGGACAAATCCTAGCACAGTGTTCATGGAAAATAGTATACAGGGCTCTAATCCTTCCTTAGCCATTTTTCACTATATTTTATTTGTTTATTTTGTGTGTATATGTGTGTTATGTATGTAGGTGCACATGCCATGATGCACATGTGGAAATCAGAGGACAGCTTGTAGGAGCCCATTTTCTTCTTCTACCACATGGGTCCCAGTAGTGAAATCAGGTCATCAATAATTTTTGCATTACATGAATCACGTAAAATGCAGCTCTCCACTGTATTCTACTAATTCAAAGTTAAAAACAAAACAAAACAAAACAAAAAAAACACCACCAACAAAAAAAACAACTTTGGATTGGTGTCAAAAACAGTAAATTCTAGCCCTGCTCTATGACCTGTGTGATCCTGAGTAACCAACCCAAGCCTCTAAGTTTCAATTCCCTCAACTATCAAACTGGGAAGTTGATCCTGATAGTCTCCAAGTTCCCTCAAGCATTTGGTTTTCTAAATATCCAGCAATGAATACTTCTATACAATTAACTGTGTCTAGCTAGTCTTAGTTACCTAAAACAAGGAATTAATAGTCAATAGTAAGAAATACAAATTAGCAATTGACAACTTAGAGTAACATTAGCAAGGATGTTCTATCAATACACTGACTATGGGGTCTGGAAATTTTCCTCTTCAGAAAGTGAAAAAAAAAAAAAAAGAAACATTTTACTTGAAGACTTCTACTTCTCCAGTAAGCAGTAATAAAATCATTAAATTATACATCAATATTGGAAGTAGGCATGATTAAAATCAGTTTTCTCCAATACAGATTTAGCCTTATACACTACACTGTAAGATGATTTGAAATAAACTATTATGCCAATGAAATTCAAATACAGGAAAAGGGAATACAGACTGTCTACTTTGACTAAAGTGTTATAAATTCACTACTTATGGCCTAGGAGCATTATACAAGAGACCAGTTTCTTTCTCCACATCTACATTCTGCAAACACACAGGGACAAGCTTGCCTTCATCCTCCTATTTCACTTCAGTGCTTTGTAAATTTGGTATATATTAGAATGATCTGAGAAGTTTAATGAACTAAAGAAAAAACTGCTAAGTAAGACCTCCAACAACTGAATCTTCAAAAGAGGACCTCCAAACAGAATTTTGGTAAAAAACCTCCAAATGATTCTAACATGTACTTCGCCCCCTCCAGTATCGATCATGAGAAAGGAAGTTGGGGAGTTGGTTCTAATGCTTCAAATGTAATTTCACCAGCAATAAAAGCAGATAAGATAAAGCATACTTCAATAGCAGGGGTCAATAGCATTAAAGGAAAACAGTGAAATGTAAGAAAAAGACACCTGTAGAGTCACCTTGGAATGCTGAGTAGGTAGTCCAAAGTGACACTCAGCTCGTCCATATTTGTCTGTTCGAGGCATAATGGAATTGTCAAAATGAGTCCACTGCGTCTGTCCTTTCCTCCTACAGAAAAGATACACACTCGACATGTAACAGAGCTTAAGAAGTCAAATGAGTAACACAACAGAATCTAGTGTTATTAAAACAATGACATGTTTAAGACACAATCTGAAAAGGACCAAGAACCTACTTGTAGTTTATCAATGTTTATAGCAGTGCAGGCAAAAACCATAGAAATTCTGAAAAGATTCACCTATGAAATCTTCACCAAAACACAGCAGTTACCATCTTAATTTTCTTCCATTTAGTTTGCTTCTTACAGAATCAACTCATCAAACACTGTATGCCTAGCACAATCAGCATTTGCAAGTAAAATATATTTCCATGTCAAAAGAAAAGTTTTACATCATAGTAAGAGTGTGAAATATGGCCACTAATCTGCTACACTGTGTCATAGCATAAAATATATTAAAATATGAGGCTGGAGAGATTCAGCAGTTAAGAGCACTGGCTGCTCTTCCAGAGGACCTGGGTTAGATTTCCAGCACCCACATGGCAGCTAACAACAGTACATAATTCCAGTTCCAGGGGAATCTGACACCCACTTCTGGCTCTGCAGGCTTTGCATGACACAGGTGCACTTACATACATGCAGGCAAAGCACTTGTGTATATAAAATAACAACATATTAAAATAGTATTAAAAAGAGACTGAGATAATGGAGAAACATGATAAAAAGTTGTGATAAGTATAAAAGTTTCATAGAAAAGTAAAGACTTGAGTTAACAGAACATTCTATTCAAAGAGATTATCTGAGCTCACTCACAAAGGAAACATGGAAGTACGTGTGATATGGAAGCCTGCCTATGGAACAGATTAACTGGAATGTTCAAGGAACAATGCACTGAATTACTGCTATGTGTACACAGTATAGCCAGTTGCACAGACTGTTTGGGTGACATTAAAGCACAGCCTTGCCCAGCAAGGAACAATGCAGAAAGTCAGATAGTGGACCACAGGGAAATTTCATGTATATGTAGGTCCTCTTCAGTTTGCCCTCAGTGTGAAATGTAACTCTTGAAGCCCTGAATTGGGGCACATGCCTGTAAAATCAGGACTGGAGAAGTAAAGGCAGGAAGATAATTAGTTCAAGGCCAGTCTGGGCTACAAAGCAAGACTCTGTCTCAGAAAACCAAGGGTTGTGATATAGCTTACTAATAGAGCACTCGCTGAATGTGCTTGAGGCTGGGGTTCAGTTCCCAGCACAGGAAACAAGAAATGGAAAAACTTCTACTTGTACATCATCTTTCAAAGTTCCTTATAACTTGACTCACACTGAACCCTGTTGGCTCAAACTGACATTTACAACAGTTTGGGAAGTTTAGAGAAACCAATAAGTCCTGAAGGAGATAATCTGTATGCTTTCTAGCAATTTATCACTAAACACTGAAGGGCTTGAGATGAAAATTACTTCTTCAGTGGCATAAATGCAATTCATAACATGCCAACCATAAAGGATCTTCTGTCCTTCATTGTGTTATCTTAACTACAGATTCTAAATCAAGCAGCCTAACATCAATAATGGGGGATTCAACTTAACACACACGTGATTCAATAGCATTTTTGTTGTTTAAAATATAGGCTTTAAAAATTAAAAAAGGATTACACAAATGATTTTCAAACTAGTCTTTGGATGATCAATAAGATTTTTATCTATTATTAAACAAAAGTTTGAGAATTACTGGTCTTAATTGCTCACTAATTGTCAAGGGAAAGTAACAAGAGGTGAGCAAGAGAACTTTCATCTGTTCTTTAAAATTAAGTTTTATTTATACATTAAATTAAACCCACAAGAGCTCACACCTACACTGTAAGAGAGATCTAAATCACTGAGTAATTTTCTTTTTTTTCCTTTCTTAAAAAATTTATTTATTTTTATTTTATGTGTCTTAGTGTTTTGTCTGCATGTATGTAAGTGTACCGTGTGTGCCGTGTGTGCCATGCCCACAGAGGACAGACAATGTTTCAGGTTCCCTGCAATGGGAGTAAAGGACGGCTGTTAGCCGCCATGTAGGTACTGGGAATCAAGCCCAGGTCCCCTGGAAGAGCAGTCAGAGCTCTTAACTGCCAAGCCATCTCTCCAGTTCCAAGGGTAATTTTCTTCAGAGGTGAAATTTAATGCTCAAGACTACACTAACCTAAACTGCATGCCCTCAGTTTTTACTAAGGAATGAGAAAATAATTTCTAGTGCAATTGTGAAAGAGAGTCAGAAGCCAAGAGAATAAAAGACCTTGAAGACAGTTATGATCAACCAGGTCAAATACTGCACACAGAGAAATGTCACAGGATACAAATAAATATGTTATTGATGGAAAGAAAATAGCATCATTCACAAATGACAACAATGGGTGAAGGCAGGCATTTTAATACACTGCCTGGAGAAATAGAAACTGAAACAATCTTCCTGGAGGGAAATCTGACAAACCCAGACTATTTCAATGCAGCTGTTTTGTGTGGTTGGTTGTTGTTTGGGGTTGTTTGTTTGTTTGTTTGCTTGTTTTGAGACAGGCTCTCCTATATAGTCCAGGCTGGCTTCAAACCTTCAATCCTACTGCCTTAGTCTTCTGAGTGCTGGAATTACAGGCACATGCCAACATACCAAACTATATATTATTTTTAATACTTCTAGTTACAAGAATTTATATTATCAAATTTACAAAGCTACAAACACCAATGTATATAATATTCATATTAGAAAAACATTGAAAAAATATAAATGCCAATGATGAGGAAAATTTATATATATATATATACACATACACAATTAGGAGTAATAATGATACTAGTAGAACTCAACTTCTTATTAGTAGAATTCAACTTCTTATGTTGTCCTTTATAATCTATACCAGGAAAACATGTCCACTTATAAAGACACATAGTATTTCATGGGAGGGAAATTTAGTATTATTAAAACAATGATGGCTAGATCTCAAAAGAATCAAAACGAAAAAGGAAGATACTGAATAGTTCTAAACTGGCAGGGCCTAGGTACCTAAAGTCTATGTAGATGTATTTAATTATTCAAATTCCAGTCACTAAGCCTGCATGAACTAACCCACAACTCTCATACCAACCGAGTGTCTAACAGTTTCTCCTTAACTCATTTACCTTATGAATTCTCTGTGTTAAAACGGTAAATAAATTCAAGTCAGTACAACCAATTTCCAACAGCAAATCTGAATTTCCTAACTCCTGCAGCTCAGTGGAGACAGAAGACAAAGGCTAAGGGAGGACCAGAGAACTAAGTACTCCATATTCCAGAAACAATTATTTAAATGCCAGTTAGTTGACTATTGATTATTACTTAATTTTTGCTTCAGAAGTGAGAAATCATGACATCACTGTAGAGATCAGCTTAGTCCAATTACAGAACAGAATAAAAACCGGTTCCAGGAACCACAGCAACAGCTCACAGCAACCATTCTGATTAAAGAAATGCCTTAAAAACAAAACCTCCAGAAGAAAGACATGTCTACTAAACTTATCAAAGAACGATTCCAGTATACCACACATACCTGAAAGGAAGGCTAGCTTTTTCTTCAGAATGGGCAGTATTACTGAGGCCTCCATTTCACTCCAGTGAACTTCCTTGCTGCTGAAAACAGAAAGTTAAATGTCAACTACAAGATGACAATCATTCTATGAAATGCATATGCACAAAGTTTTATTCAGAGTTCCTCAATCTGAAATTGGTATTTTGAACCAGGTAAGTCCTTTTTGTAGGGAGTTGTCCATTACACTCTAGATCTCTTAGCATTATCTCTGGCCTCTATCTCCAAAACACCAGTAACACCCTCACCTCTAGTTCAGACATCTAAAATATATCTAGACATTACCAAGTGTACTCTAGTAGGTAAAACTGCAGCTGGCTGAAAATCAGTGGCTTAAGTGTTTTTCAGAGCAATACTCCTGAGCTAGATACCGGCTGTATACAGCAATAGCTCAATAATTTTTTGCTGAATGAGTCAATTAAGCTATCAAGTAGGCAGTAAACCTTCCACTGCTTTCCATATTACACAGCTTAGTTCCAAATATCTGATTCCTTCTGCCCCAGTAGTAATAGCGTCTCTAATTTGACATGAGTTTTGCTCCTCATAACATGGTAACCGATTTGGAGCCTCCTGGTTACCTCAAGTTATTCCCAATGCAGTTTTAGCTGCTGGCTCCCTCTTTCTACATTTTTTTAAAATTTATTTATTATTTTTATTTTATGTATATGAGTGTATTGCCTGCATGTAGGTAAGTGCACCCGTGTTGTGCAATGCCCACGGAGGACAGACGAGGCTGTTGGATCCCCTGGAACTGGAATTACAGAGTTATTAGCTGCCATGTGGGATTGAAACCTGGGTCTTCTGCAGGAACAGTGTTCTTAACTGCTGAGCCATCTCTCCAGCCCCCTCTTTCTACATTTTACAGTTTGTAATTCTTCAAGGAAATATCTAATTATTAGCTCAGTTCACCTCTTTTGTTTATTTGTTGTTGTTTGAGACAGGATCTCACTGTGTACCCCAAGCTAGCCTTGAACTTGTAACATTCCTGCCAACCTCCTGAGTGCAGGGCTTAGTTTAACTTTTTGTGTTAAGCCACAACTTACTGTTTGGTTTGGTTTTGCATAGTCCACTCAGTCACAGCCAGGGTTTATGGCTATCTTAAAAAGCGAATACACACACAGCAAGTGCTGAGAACAAGACAGTTTCCCTTAAATGGAAGCTTGGGCATGACATGCATTCTGAGACCTAGGCATGCCTGAATACTACTAAAACAGGAGCTGAGGACAGCAGAAACCTTTACAAAAAAACAAGAAAGTCAAGGGTTCAACCACACCGTCCTTTTGCTTAGATTCATGTGTGGGAGTTCCCCATCATTCTTTATCCTCTCCTCCTCTGCAGCAGCTCCCCCCGCCACCCCAACAACCACCACCACTAGGCAGGGCAAGTTTGGAGAGCACTGTGAAATCACAGTGAGAGACTGTTCTCTTGAAAACAATTTTCCAGAGTAGAAAATATAACTCTTTAGATTACTTATCCAGCAAAGACCTGCCATGAGCCTAGCATATTTCAGGCACTTACAACCCTGTTCTGAAGAAAATATGGTCTTAAATAAAAATCCCAGGTACTGAAAAACAAATACACACAGTGTTAACATTCATCAGATAATGGCTAATTAAGCCACTGTGCTATTTTACAGTTTTTGTAAGGAAGATAAAAAATAAAAACAAAAATAAAAACTATTACTATTCCCACCTGGTTATAAAGAAAACAACCTGTCAAACCAACTGATGTAGTCTTCTAAAATTTTACTCCTTAAATACTTGTTTTTGATTTGTTCACTCATTCTGATTCTATAATCGCCCAGCTAACAGAAAGGAGTAGGAAACAAAAATGTTCACATTTGCATCTTGATAGAAAATCTATAGCACTTCACGTTGCCAGATCAATATTTTGATTCTTGTGTTATTGTCCACCTAAACAGGAACCCAGAAAGCTTGGGTTTATGTCTTAGACCCTTACCCTTCCTCTATGACCAGCTTGGTGGGAACCTGATCTCAAGCTCTATGATGATAATAATGATTATGATAACCATTTACTAAATATTTACTACATACCATGCCCTGTTCTAAATGCCTCCTATTCTGAGGTAAGAGTTACTATTATTGACATTTCACAGGAAAATGAACTGTGGCTCCAAGAAGTTAAATGCTGTTACAGCATCACAAGGCTAGTGGGAAATCTGATTCCAACAACGTAACTTTCATACACACTATCACCTTAGCAATAAACAGCTCTGAAAATATCAACCGATATTTAGGCAATTAAATACAAAGTTCATCTAGACTGTATGGAAAAAACACAAATAACAGATATGCAGCAAAATAAAACACAAATACTTGGTCTTGTTCTTCATTCTTGGTACAGACCCTTCAACCCCTGGGGATCTCCTGAGTGACAGGAGGAAGTGAGCCTTCCTATCAAAGCTGAGCTTGTGCTAACAAAGTAAACTCTAGCCGAGCCTCTATACAAGTTCAAGAAGGGCAGACTTGGTTAGAAGCTTCAACTTCCATCCCACTCTCCAAAACTGAGGAGGGGAACGAACAGAGACTAAATCAATCACCAGTAACATAGAATTTAATCAATAACGCCTATGAGATAAGACCTCTGTCTGTCAGACAATAAACACATGAAGGGAGGGTAACATGCCCAGACACCACAACGAGGTGGCACTGAGGCTACCCTCAAAACCTTGTCATACGTGTCTTCTATTTGGCTGTTCCTGAGTCATGTTCTTCACAACAGTAAAGAAATGGCTTCCTTGAGGCCTATGAGCCCTTCTAGTGAACTATCAAACCTAAGCAGGGCAGTGGTCCTGAGAACCCTTGATTTGGAGCCAACAAGCAGAGGTATCCAATACTTGAAACTGACAACCAACGTAAGGTCAGTCATGTGAGAACACGCCCTTAAACCTAAGAGTTTAATACTAGCTCTAGTACTCAGTGACAGATTGAAGAGGATGACGGTTGGAAAATTGGCTGTTATGAGGAACGCCCCCCCCCCCCCCGCCAAGTCTACTTGTGTAGACTAAACTACATTTAGTCTCACAAGTATGTGGTACAGTTAATTGTATCCACCCACATAGACACAGCTCTCCATGGCCCTGGTTCATGTTAAGGCAGTAGCACTTTTTTCTTCAATGTTTTTACACTGTCGGTGCAAATGAAACACCATGAGGACAAATAATACCTAAGAACTATCATTAAAAATCATTTTGCTCTCCTGGCCTCCCTGAAAGCTAGAAACAAGAGAGCAGCTGAGGCAGGCTGTCAGCAGGATGCTCCCACAAAGGCCCCTTAGTCATACAATAAAACTGGCTCCCAAACCACATTTTCCTATCTTGTTATGAGCATAAATTCTGAACTTCCCTTAATTCCTTCCAGTCTTGAAGCCTATTTTTCCATCCCTGCATCAGTTCCATAAACTGTACAACACCCTTCCAGTAAATCTGATTTTCTGCTTAAGATGTCAGGAGTAGGATTCTCTTTGGTCAGTGCTGAAATTTGATTAGAATAGGAAGCAAAACTACAATGAAGCATTTAGTAGACCAGGCCTCTCATCACTTCCTGCTTCATTTAAAAAACCTGTTGCCATCGATTTTGAATGAAAATGCCAGTCAATACATTGAGATTTTGACCTTTGCCAGGGTAAGGCCCCATTAAACAGCAACCAAGAAATGAGAACATCTGGACTCCTGAGATCCCACAGGGCCCAAGAAACACAGGTCGCAGGCGATCCAGGAATAAAGATTTTGCTATTTGAGCTTTGCAAGTCAGGTTATAGATTTTATGCCAGGAAACACTGAGTTCTCCCTGTGCTCAAAGGGGGAAAGGAAAAAGATGGCTCCATCTCCTGTCCAGGCTCACTCTGGGAGGCTGGCATCCTGAGGCAGCCTTCCATTTTCTCCCCATCTACTCAGAGACAGCTGCCTTACACAGAAGCTCCTATAAAGCCTGGCAGAGTACTTTTTTTTTAAAATCCAACAGCTTTTATGTTACTTTTAGAGCATACTGAAAATGATAAAGAAGTATTAAAAAGCAATGAGAAATATACATTGGGGGGGTACATGGATCAAAATCAAATAAAGGAATAGATAAAACGTGAAGTATCAAGATAAAGCAATTGTTTATTCTTTATATTTCCTTCCCTTCGAGAGTCTCCTGTCTATCAATCTCTTTCATTGCTGCCACTAAAAAAAAATAGGTAACAAAAACAATAATTACTGTCCCACTAAATAGTTTTTCAAAATGTATGGCTTATGGGTCAGATAGATGGCTCAGCAGTCAAGAACACTTGTTGCTCTTCCAGAGGTCCCAAGTTTGGTTCCCAGTATCCACATCAGGCAGTTTGCAACCACCTATAACTCCAACCTCAGGGGATCTGACACCCTCTCTGGCCTTCTTGGACACCTGCACACACGTGATATATATACTCACACAGACACATAAACATACATATAAATATAAATAAAAAATAAATGTTTTTTAAAGTTAGATTCTCAACTATTTGGAAGAACCATTTAAAAAAAGAATTCCCATTTCTTTATATCTTGTAGAACAGTTAAATTACATATAAAACACATAAAATGAAGCAAAACTCTTGCAAAATGCTACCAACTATCTCCACAATGCAATATTAGATAACAAATAGGTACTGGTTTATATTTTCTCCAGGGGCACAATGTAAAAGAAAAGGCTTGCTCACTCCCATTATGTGAATGGACCACACTCTCAACTCAATCAAGGTGTGAAGCCAGAAAGGGACATTTACCTAATATGTCTATCAACAATGATAGGAAAACGTACTTTAAAAAAATCTTACCAAGTAAAGTAGGCTAAGAAATAGAAAAATGAAGGAATTTGAGACATGCTTAACAAGAGAGTGAGCAAGAGAGCAGGAGAGAAAGAAAGCACAGCTGTACTTTTCATATTTTATATATGGACATTTAAAACAAGACTCTTTTTAGCTCAGTTTATTAAATATAAAAGAGACACAAAGCCAGAGGTAAATCAGTGAGGTGTCTTGGAGGCTGATGAAGGTAAAAAGA